AGAGAGAGAGAGATGACTAGCGTGGCGTCGGCTGCGGAAGCAAGAGCACCCACGTCATTGCGACCGGGAAGACAATGGTTTTGGCATGCGCTTAGTTAAGGGTAAAATGTGCCAGGTTATATTTCCTTCTTTTATTGGTCTTTGAGATGCAAATTCTTTGGCTGTTTTTTGGATACAGAGGGGTAAGGATGCATCCTTGGGTTGGTAGGTAGGCACCATGTTTGTCATACCAGAAAAAAATAGATATGTATCATATGAGGAGTACCCGGTGAAACCAAGTTACAATGAAAACTTTGTGAAAATCACATTTAAAAGATCACCATAATTCTGAAACTAGTACAACATGTTTGAACAATTAAGTCCTATAAACAAATTATGCATGGATGTTATTGCACGGTTTATCACTGTCCATTGTTAAATTTGGTTTTTCTTTTTCATACAACTCTAGTGAATTTGAATTTGAACTTTAAATTTCACAAGCCTGCATGACATCACCTCTCAAACATACTTGATTTCTTCAGAAGCTTTAATCATTAAAACATAGCCTTCGTTAGTTTCATCGTAACTTTGTTCCCACCGATGCCCCTCGTGTATTATGGACGTACTATGGCGAAAATAGTAGTCAACCGCATTTGTCTGCCTTATTACACCTTGCCAACACATATGATATCTTATTGGTAATTTCAAGCGCTAGGAGAAACAAATAGAGCTAGTGCAGCCTCCTTTGATTCATGGGAATTTTGCAGGAATGGTAAAGGATAGAAACTTTGTAGGAAAAATTCCTTTGAAGCTCTTTGGTTTGTAGGGATAGTTTTCTATTCCTATGCAAGATAGGGACCAATCCTTCACATTTCAAAAAAAAAAATAACATTAGCCTAGACTCAATAAAAAAAAAATCCCTATCATATGCATCAAATGGCATTTCTTTTTCTATAGAAATTAAGTTACATGTCATCTCACTTCCTATGATTTATTTTATTTCTATACTATTTCTATCCTATGAACCAAAGGAGGCCTGCATATAAATCCTCTAGTCGCCCTGTTTGGTTCGGCTGTGGATTTCTAAAAACAGCTGCGAAAAATCTGATGTGGAAAAATAGTTGTGAACAATCTGATGTGAAAAAGATGTAGATCATTTGGCAAATCAGCCGATACAACTTTTTCAGATTTTGGCCGGCAGCGGAATCAGATTTTGAAAAGCACGTCCTGGACTACTTTCGCTTTTGGTTCATATTTTGGCAGCGGATTTCTAAAATCGGATTCTACTGGGATCGCCTTTTGATTCAGATTCTGCTGCGCGGCAGTGGAATCCGCCGATAAAAGCTGAACCGACAGGTGTGATCAACTATCGGCTGCGAGTGCAAACGGCGGAATTCTGTTCCAACTATGTGTAATTCTGTTCCAACTATCCGTGTCTTCTCATTTTCGGATCGATGCTAGCTTTCACTCACAGTAAGGAAGAAGCGTTCCTGTCAATGGACAGAAGGTTTGGATAACCAGTGGCGAGCGGCCGGAGAGGACGATCTACGCCTAAATAAGAGACGTGTTTGGACCAGGGACTGAACCATACCGGAAAAGACCGGTAGACGTACACTGCTAGGTTCCTTCAGGACAAACTGCTAGGTGCTTCGTTTGCTTCTTTATCTGTCACGCATGTCAGCAGGGAGGCCAACGTACCGGCGCATCAGTGTGCTCGCCTAGCTAGTACACTCGATGGAACTGAGAGTTGGCTTGATGTAAGCCCTGTTTTTTTAGCCTCTTGCCTACGGGCGGATTGTAAAACTATGATTCTAAGTTAATAAAGTTCTTGAGTTCGATGAAAAAAAAAACTGGCAGGGCTGTAACAAGGCGATCCACCGTCTCCTACCTCAATCCTCACGCAGTATGCTCGTTTCGCACGAAGGTCGGTAATACCTAAAGTTTACCTCGTCTCCAAACGAGATGATTAGACTGCATCCAAAAGTTTTCCTTGCATCCAACAAAGTACCGACGGTGGACGTATTTTCTACCGATGATATGATATGATTATGATTAGAAAATACAGCGGTCTCGGGCGTGCGTCTACGCGCGTGGATACGCTACGCCGCCGGCCCGTTGAACCGATCGGTGGAGCAATTGACCGACCGAAACCGTTGCCGTCCAGACTAATTAAAAACAACTGCGAAGTGGAGAGAAAGTACAGGCCGTTCCAAATGGTGCAGCTCAGGGCTACGCGCAGAAAATGAGCCCCGGATCGCGACGTCGTTCGCCGCTAAAATAAGCCGCGCTGTGCAATCAGGAGCCTCGTCAGTCCCAAAGAGAAGGACGAACAATTTTTTTTTTAAAGTGATGAGTGTTAGAGAGAGAAAGGAAGGGCGGCCTGGATCCAGCTACAGTCAGGGTCCAACAACCGTCAGAGGCCGTGCGTGCGTGCGTGCGTCCTTGAGTATCATCCTGGCCATGCGTGCCGTCCTTCTTCCCCCCCTGCCGTTGCAGCGGCATGCCAGCAGCGTGCGGCGACGAGACAAACAAAGATAAGATAACCACCCCCAGCATTGCACTGGTAATGAAAAATGTTTCGGTTTCAGCCGGCGGTGGCAGTAGTAATTATATTATTACTGGTGGTAACAGCCGGCGGGTCAAGTCAATTGGAGATGTGCCGAGGAAGGCAGAGCAGAAGCGTAGTACGTACGAACGACAAGCGGGACAGCACGGACGGGCGGGCGGGGGCTCCTCGCTCGCTCCGGTTACCGCGTCCTGGCGTGACGGAGACCCCCAGCCCGTCGCCGCCCCCAGTGGTAGGAGTACTACAGAGAGAATAGAAAAACTGCAAAGCTCCACCGATCCGGCTCCGTTTCCCCCCTTTTCCACGTGAGGCGCACGCACGTCCCGTCTCGTCCCGCATCGCCCCGCCCAATCAATCATCCGCGCCGGGCGAGACCGACCGAGTGAAAAAGTCCGTGCGG